TGTCTCATCCATATTTGATTGTGGAACTACAACAGACGTATATATTATCTATAAGTTACATGACGAGTTTGTACTTGAACAATACAATTTTATGACTGAAAGACATGCATAGACTCGAGCCCGTAGCTAGGCACAAACCATGAAATAAATCCACAATTTTGGGATTTTCAGATCTCTATTTATTTCAAATAAATTTAAAAGCGATAGAAGCCAGTGGCATGCCTTTTGAAATTAAATTCCTCATTGATAAAACATTCACTTTGATTATTGCAATTTAGAACTTGGGATTAGTAATTGTTTTCTATTATCTTTGTGGTAAAGAGAAGCTTCTGCATTGACACTGAAGTTAAGCACACAATAAGGAATCTTATATTGTGGTAGACTTGGTAGGATGATTGTATGTTAACTGAAGATGTTTGATGGGATTTTTGTGTCTAGTGACAACACACACAGACAACTAATCCAACATTTCATGATTGATTATCTTCTAACATTTACTTTACTGTGTGTGCACTGTCTAAAATGATGATTTTTCTATCATCTATATTAAAGGTGAATAAAACTACTAAGCTTAAAGTCAACAAATCACTAGTTGGATTTGTCATTTTAACAGATAAAATTACACCTAGTTTTTGAAGAATCGCCTATCATTGTTAAAGTGAATCTTATTCTAACTTTATAAGAAAAACTCTGATTAGTCAGATTGTAGAATTAGTAAAAGTACATGTAAGTTTGTTAAGAATGACATAAATTAAGTTATGATATTACCAATTAAAAAGACTCAATAAGATTGACATAAAATAGCTCTTCTATATTTATATTAATAACTGTTCTCAATCTATATTATTTTCTAGTTTTCAACAAATAAAGTGTTTCACCTGAACTCTGTATATCATGTTAACTTGAATGGATGAAGAAAATAATACAAAGAATATTTTCCCCATACATTTCAAACTACATATACATGTACAGCGATAGTGCATATCCAAAACAAGATCCATGGAGGAAATGTGTACCTTAAATCCTTAAGGGGCAAGAAAGGGTTTAACCAGGCAAATTTTGCAATACCATAGTTCAACTTTAAACAGGCATTAATTTGTAAAGGCCTTAAGGAATTATCATCTTATAAGGCAATGAAACAGACCATCATGGACATCAATACCTAAGTATCTATCTACCTGTAAAGCTCTTGATAAATAAATATTTAATTAAGAATAAACAGTTCAATGGAACTGGCATTTGTATCTATCTCATCCTATAATCTAGCTATTGCCATATATATCCTTAATAAGGCAAATATTACAACATGGGATGGGAAAAAAGCATTTTTGAAATCTTATTTTCTAAGAAGTTAGAAATATTGAAATGTTTATAACAGGAAGCTATGTAGAATTAATGCTAGTTGGATTATATTCAGAAGAATTTTGACAAAATGGAGGCAAGTTTATAATAGTTAAAGATATTCAATAAACAATGTGGCAAAGAGATATATTACATGTAGCCTAATTGTATTTGTGTCAGATTGAGAAGAGGATTCCACATTTGATAATCAATAAAAAGCTCATCATAGGTGATACAATATCTATAAATAGTTCATTATAGATGATACGGGATGAGAGTATCTATCTATTGATGCACAAAATGATCTTAAGTTATGATTGTTCAACGACAAATAACAATAAGATACTCAGCTTCCCATCCTCCTTCCAGATTATTGAACATTTTTTGTATTGTGTATATCTTATTGATATAAAGATACTTATATTGCCTATCTATGACAAGATATCAATTCTAGCTATGGATATGTTAAAGAAGATTTTATCAAATTGATTAATTGGTTCATCTATTATTTTAAAATAAATGAGGAAGGACAAAAGTCCTCTTTGTATGTTATTATACTTTTTATTGCAGAAATTCCTCACTCAACAAATAAGAAATATGGGATAAAATTTCGTTTTCATATCCAATATGAAATATATTTTTATTTTCAGCAACCAGAGCTGTATATCATATCTACCTTGGGGTTAATCAACCAAGAGTGATCTTTCCACTCAAAACTAATAACACAAAAGTATAAATTAAATTATACTTTAATGTTTACTCACTGTTAACATTTAATAAATGTCCATGTTCACATTTACAGGTGAAACAAATTTGAGACAAAAGGCACATTAAAACCTGTGGCTGATTGATCAGTACAAGAAAGATATACCCTAAGGTTGAAGTCGCTTGGAGAAAAGCTGGGTTGAGATCATAATTGTCAGATTTTGTCTTTCTATGTATAAATCGCCTGATTCATGAAGATAAAAGAACATACATAGGGAAATTCAAGATGGGAGGGGCTTTGATCAAAAAAGAACTGAACTTAGCAATATGGGGTATAATTCAATTAAATTCAAAAGGTGGTAGATTAAAAAATATTGTACTTATGATATGAAATACTTAAGGTGTGAACAGTATGATAAACTGTAAATCAATCATTATATTATTCACATTAATTCTTAATATTTGTTGTTTCATCAAACTTATATTAAAACTGTTCCAAAGTTGTCTGATCAGAAGACAGGTAGCAATCAAGGTTTGAGATCTAGCTTATTTATCACCAAGCATTTGTTATCTAGAGGTATTACAAGATGGCTTAGGATTTGCCAAAGACTACTAACAGGATTCTACCATTGTAGTAGAGTTAATGACACAGCAAAAGCTTTTAAGAATCCTATAGTTGAAAATAATCTCATAATGCTTGCTTTTCAATTGAGACATTCCGCTGAATACCAAAAGAATAATTCCGTCCTCACGAGATAATCAAAGTCCCAATGTCACAAATATCTCCCGCGATTTAGGAGAATATTGAAACTTCGAGGATGCATTAATACCAACAATGTCTGAGGTTTTGGCGCTATACTAATCTCTTGTCATAACTTTGCTGTTTTCTGTATCTTTTATAAAAGGTTCTATTAGATAAGAGATAGCGGTGTAACTCTAGCGGAAATATTCTATGAGTGGACAGGCTAATCTGGCTTAATCCTTCAACCAAACTTGACAAACATGGGACAACAAAAGACACGGCAACTAGAAACTTCAATGCAACGAAATAGTCCTATTATGAGTCAAGAAAAGTGGATTTCAGATAGAAGTTGCCAATCTCTTTTGATTGCAATACTGACAAAAGCCTTGATGCAATATTGAATTAAGACCGGATGAAAGTAAAATAGATTTAAATGTAGCTGATCTGTCAATGACATATTTTCACATGGGCGGCAATGCCAACCTGTTGGTATTTGGGTCTATTTAGATCCAGATACAAACCATCCTTTACGAAAATATTGAAAAGAATATGTGATATTTAATTGTATCATATGACATGCCAACTTCAAGTGCCGTTGCTACTTGGCTAGCAGTGTCATTTTTAGTCTATGTGTGGCCAAATGATAAAATGACAAAAAGTTTAAATAACAGCTGAAACTTTCACATCATTATAGATAAATGACTATATGCAAAATTAGAGTATTTATCTTCTGTATATTGTACCAAGTAATAAAAATACAACTCATATATTTCAAATTTGTAATTTTTCTAGGCATAATATATGTAATTGTAATCAATCTGACCTGCTAGATACTATATCATGTAATGATCATGATGTTCAGTTCACTCTAACTTCATCAATGATCCTTCTGGAGAGGGGATTGTTACTTTTTATGTATAATACAGATTTTTACATGTAATACATAACAGTATATTAAAATATGTGTCTTCTTCCTTCTATGATTCATTTCACACATGTTCTTTCTATTAGTAGGTTATACAATTCTTTACTTCAAAAAATCCCACTCCTGAAACATTTTATTCATTAATATATGAATCTAATACTGTATATATTTAAGGTTTTCTCAAAATGTTTACAATTAATAAGTCACCACTTTTGAGTTTATTTAGAATGGAACAGTATTATACAAGAAAATGTTTGGGAAATCAGAGCAAATAACATAATTCATAGTAATATATCTTATTATTTAGTTTGAACCAATACAATAATCTTTTTATTACAAATCATTTCTTGCCATGTCTATTTACAAAAAATACCCAAACTTTACAATTTAAAACAGAGAAATACATTAATTTAATTTAATTGAACTGCTTCTCATGGAAATCATTACTAATTTACATACAGTATTTGTGCATCTTAATGAAGTTTTCAACAACCATTTTTTGATTAGATATTTTAATTTTTTTAGTACCATATTTGGAATGTTTGACATCATTGGTTAGAAAATATGATTTCTCTTATAATTTTGTCACTCTTCGGATTTCGGATATGTTTTAATTGTAACAAATAATCATACTGGAATTCTATATGTATAGGTTTATTGGGTGCAAACATAAAGTTCTATTGAGCTAACATTATGACTTTTCATTTAAAATATAACCAGTCTGAAAGCAATAAATATGTACTACAGAAAAATAATAACACAAACTAAAAAGAATCAAATCCTTTTTAAAAGACCGGTGTTGCTGAGAGGAAGTTACTCTTTCTAGGGAGGGGGTGGAGGCATTCAAAATAAAACTAAAACTATTTCATTTTATTTTTACCATTTTAGGGGGTTTCCCACCCCACCCCAACACTATATACAATCTGAAGCCAATGTGAAATATTGACAGAAAGTCCAACATAAAACATTCACCCCTCCCCTTCCCCCTGTTACCCAATCTCTTCATTTTCAAGACTTGAACAAACTTGGACCACCAGCAAATGACCTACATTAATGCCAAATTGAAATTCAAACCATACAAGAAGCTATTAGACCACGAAGTGAGAGATGTATTGGTCTCAAGCGATGCCAAAAATTCAAGTTCAATATTCAATTTTTTCAAATTCTATTTGCTTGTCAAACTTATCTCACGAGGCTCATCTGTCTTATCTCTGTTAGATTCCGACCTTGAAACATCATAATACACATGGAATCTACGAATATATGTAGAAAAGGAAGTATACTTACCATTTGTAATCTTTCTTGCCTTTGCCTTAGATCGCATGATTGAGTTTTCACGTCTTCTTCTGACAATCGCTTTTCAATTTACTATCATACACACCTGTGCGCATGCGCAAATCACTCAGATTTTCCCCGCGAAATCTATCTCTGGAAGGGGATTAAATTATTTTAATACCTAAATTGGATTTGTACCCCAATTTGTTGTCATTGTAAAACATTCAGAAGGTATAGTGAATAACAAAGAGCTGTCAACACGAATTGTCACCCGATAGGTGCTAAACGTTAATATTTACTTAAACGTTGTAGTCAAGCGGACAAGAGAGGTACAGTGACAGAGGGAGGGGTGGGCCTAGGCTAGTTGCTCCACAATTCCAGATTTTTAAAGCAGATGTAAATTCAGCCTATATGATAGTAGGGTGTCAAACTGTGATAAACCTTCAATACACGCCTATTCCCAACCCCCATTGTTTTAGCTTACCAGAGAATTAGAATGGAGAAAACAAAGTCTTTTCTTTTATCTGAGTAGTGAGTTAATAGTTTTCGCTTTGTGAAAATGTTCTCTCTTGCTCTGAATTCCATAATTATTCTGAAACAATTATTCTCTTTTCATAAGTTGTATAACATTTCATTTGTATAGATTCTTACGATCGTTGAATGCAAAGCTTGAGAACACAAAAACAGACTAGCAAAACCTCTAATTATCATTAGGAAGCGTTAAAGTTTAAAACAGAGGCATAAGAGACGTTGAAGCATTATCGTACCTATTATACGTAATTCATTTGTTTCTCTATACTTGAGGTAGTATATCAGCCCGTATATCAGATCTAGAGAGTCATATAAAAAAATTGTTTCAATATTTAGAATATTTTTGGCTGATATCACTCCTTGTCATACCCATTTCCAAGAAATCTTCAAGGTGCATACTGTATTTGAAGAAAATTTAATATTTTTCAAATAATATGTTCATTTTTCTAGAATGTGTTTACCACATTTATTATTTGGCCGAATTTAAACATTTTTCACAATTTTTGCATTTTGAATCTGAAATAACTTCACCAACTGATAACATATTGGGGATGATTTTGGGACATATCATAATTGATATCGTAATACCCTGCGCGCAGAGTCTAGTTATAAACTAGATGCTCTCAGAGCTTTACACTTTGCATTCTCAAAAGTTTTGAGAATGCAAATGCTAATATCGTAAGGAATACATCAGTAGATCAAATGTACATGTTGCAATAACCCAGATGCGAGTAAGTAGTTACCAGTTTCACCACCAGGTGGCTCATTCGGGGCAGATAACATGGCGGGGTATTAGAAAGTTCCCTTAAACTTGAATATTCATCACTTTTTATGTTCAATTTTCATATATCCCTTATGTTTCTGATAGTTATACAAATTGAATATGTCCAGTAAAAGAAATTATCCTACACTTAGTGTACTAAATGTATTTAATAACATTGAAAAATAAATTTGACACCTATCCAATCAATCGTCATGTCTATTAACAAATAAATACCCGGGGGATATCCAATCGACACGATATACTCCGGAAAACCAATATGCGGAGGATATTTATAGGGTATCCTATGATTTTGAGGAATATCATTTTATCTACGAGGTGATATAGATATCTGCACGAGAGATCGAAGCGAATGAGTGCATATATAAATATCTCACTTTGCTCGGTGACCTTGATATCTGCATTCGCTGATGATATTCCTCTAAATCATAGGATATCCTATAAATGATATATGTCCAATACAAGAAAATATAATTTCACTTTTTACGACCTGGGGAATCTCACCGACCTAGAAGTCACATTTTCAAAGAAAATTTTCAAAGTTGAAAAACACTTGGATTAAACCCTTTGCATTCGTTTGACTTAACTTCTTAAAAGAGAGCTTCGTCTTCGTCTGTAGTTTAACTGACTCTGCACGCAGGGTACTTGGATTAGAACCACATCGCTAGATATAAAATTTAGATTTCAATAGTCTTTCTTCAAGACCCCGTGTTACTAGGGCTTGTAGCAAGACTAAGATTTCAAATATGATACCATTTGACTGAATTTATTCTAGACCATAGGCGTAGTCAGGGGTCGGGGGTGCGATGGGGGCGATCCCCCCTCATAACCAATAAAAATAAAGCTATGAAGAAGAGGAAGAAAGGAGCTTTAAAATGCTTTTTATTTGAAGCTTCCATCTCAATTTTGAAGGATTTGCATCAATTTTTGTAAACATTCAAAATGAATCTTTCCTTTTGGCTTGTTTATGCCACAATTGCATCCCTCACTGAAAACCGGATTTCTTTTGTCGTTTTCCTGTAGACACATATTCAACTAGATCCTATTCTAGTATTCAAGATCTATTAAAACATTCCTAACGAACAAATTAAATCATCACGACAAAAAAGACTAGATGATTTTATTATCGATGTTATCGCATTTATATGGTTTTTAGGTCCCTTGATTTATGCCATAAGTAGAAGAATCAAACAGACTTTTACTTTTTATTTATTTTGAAGCACCATGTGAAGGCTTTGCGTAACCTTGCACCGTGATCATTGGGAAAAATTATTGAAACTATACCAGGCATGTCTTTGGCTCCTAATAACATCTCATAGAAACTACGTTGTTAAATCTATGGGATTAATTTAAAAGGCATTTCAAACTCAATATATGTCAATGACATCATATTATAAAGGTAATAATTACGTTTGCTTGTCATAAATCGATATTAGCAAATTATGCTTATAATAATTGATATTATAGGATAGTTTGATACTTTGAAATTAAAATTAAATTGAACATTAATATCATTCTAATGAGCTTATTTTCTTGGAACGTCAAATGAAAGACCAGGCACAAATTGATTCAACATGACTATCAGATGGTAACATTTCATCATATTTACGAAAACTATTATATTATTACGAAAAAATTATATTATTTTTAGAATGTGCGGCAAATCGACTACGTTTGAAAAAGGAATTCGTGGATAATGTGGAACACGGGTACAATCCAACGAAAGGATGTTCTATGATATTTGGAGATTCTTTAATAAAACAGGATTTTGATTTGCATATTTGGATTTTCGTGCGATAAAAATCCTCAGACCACATAAAAAATTGAAAAAAAGAAAAACCTAGAGAGTTACTTTTTTATATTGAAACCAAGCATTTATATTTAAACCAATTAATTATTTCTTAATTATTATTAATTAGTTGATCAGTTTCATTCTGTCAATTAACTCTAATGGCTTGTAGTATGCACCATTACAAGAAGGTTTGTATCAACGTCTATATTGGTATTATGAACTATAAATTGCTTTGCCTTTCTGATACTCACAGCATCTTTCTGCTTCACCCGAAACTCAGGGCTGAGAAGATTTGAAATCTACTGTCATGGTTTATCATGATGTTGTTTTGCAGTCTGTGTAATATTTATGGATTTTAGGACCAGATTAGAAGTCAGCAATATAAGAGTAATTCTTCTGAATGTCACTATAAATATATATTTTAATTTTTGATATGAATATTTTGATTACATATTCAAGGGCAAAGAGCTGTCGTGTAATTCCTACAATATTTTTTATTTATATAGTTTACAAATTCAATAAACTTGAATGTAAACTTTCTTTTCTGAAAATATCAAAATTGCCTTGAAAAAATCCTAACCTATATATAATATGCAGTGCGAGCAGATTCAATGATTAATAAACAATTAGCAAACCAGTGAATTGAAGCTCTATATCAACGATGTTTTCAAACTTCGGTGGTTACAGAAAAGGAGTTTTACGTCCAAATCTATACATTATGTCAGTTACACATCATTTATATTAAGAACATTTCAAATTCATCCCCCTTCCTCCTACTGAAATCCTTTGATTGAATATCAAAATCATTCAAAGCATTGGAAAGCGTGTTCAAAACAGTCTGAGGGTATATATCAACTTTTCTCAGAAAGTAGGTCAAATAAGGTGTAAAATAGATAGAAGTGACATGGGAGCTTACTTTCTGGCATTTATTAATATTGAAAGAAAAATCAACAATAGCAAAACTTCAAAATACTTGCCTATTTGTCATGAAATAACAATACCTATTTTTAATTAAACTTTTCGGTTTAAATTGACTTCCCAAAAGCGAGCCGCCCCCCCCCCCATTTATATAGAACTTATCCTATGACAAGTTGGTTTCAGGTACATGGCAGCGGGATATAGAATTGGTATCTTGGAGGAGCGGGACATAATATTATATCTCTCGCTTTATATCGCCCGCTGTAATATTACCGGGAAAATGTTTTTGTTCAGTCATTTTGTTGGAGTATCTTGCATATAGCGAAACAGTCAAAATGGATGCAGCAGACAGTATAATTTATTTTGACCAAAATGTTGATAGTTCTCGAAAATATTGAGAATGAGAACAATGAAAAAAAATGGATACGGTCTGAAAACTTCACACAAACCTCACTTGTCATAGGATAAATTAGTTATGTGATGCTCGGTTTTGACATGGGCTTTCAGTTAATGGAAGCCCATGGTTTTGAATATGGGGTATATCCAAAACCTCCCATAACACAATTACACAACCCTCATGTATGCAGAGGAGGATGTAGAATAATGGTAAAAAATAACATTTTTATATTTTGTAAAAAAATTTTTTTTTCAAAATCTCCCTTTTTCAAAATTTTTAATTTTTCATAATTTTTCTCATTCAACAGAGGATTTTAGGCAGATATTGCTCTTGACCATGGTATAAGTTCGTTATTCACCTGTCGGGATGCTGTGAGGATTATCTCTCGGATGATATCAATATTTCCCTCTGTCAAATATTGATATCATCCACATCAAATCCCTCCTGGTGAATAACTACTATTTTACTATGATTGTAATCCATTCGCCATACATTCCATATTTATTCCATCTACTCTGACGAGAACCATCTATATTCCTAAAATAAAGGTAATGAATTGTATGAGAATTGACTCAAAGTGTACATATAGATGTCACACACGTACGAATCGCGCATAAAAGCCAGGGCTAGTTTTGAATGTCCGCAGGACAAAATAGTCTCCGGTATTTCTAGATTTTGGATTTTAAAATAATGCAGGTTATACTTTTAAGCTAAGTTATGCATAGTTTTGTCCATACTTGCTTCCCAGTTTGATATCCAATCTTGATGAGGGGAGGGGGTCGATAGAAAGTTTTAAAATATCGTATGCCCTCCTTTGTCCAATGGTATTTCACTTCTTTTTATAAAGCATCAATGAAGTCATTTGAAGAAGGATGACTTATACCTTATAAATATTTGGTAAATTAATATTCATAAAACTCACTTTGATAGACCAACTTTTTAGGGGAGTGTACTACTTTTCTGTATTGGATGTCAATGAATTATTATTCTGATAGAGCTTTATATACTTATTCTTTTACTAGACATTTTTACTAGGAAGTATGGCCCGGAATGGCCATAAAACACTTGGGATTATTTTATTAAAGTCCAACCCGGACATTCAGGTCTAGCCCCCGGACTACACAGTAAGCATAGTCCATCAGACTTATTGTTCTAGGAAATGTAGTCTTTGACTTACTATATTTACAAGGGGGTACATTCACGTTGCCATCGGGATGAAGAAAGAAATATGCCATTTACTGATACCAAGAATAAGTTTTTGTTTCTTTCAATTGCCTCATCTTACAACAAACTACAAACGCATTTCATATCTATATCATTATTTTCGGAACAATTGATCGAGTGTGACATCTATTATGCAAAATCAAATCGTTTTTACATCTATTGAATCTTGAAAATGTTTGAACTCTTGAAACCATATTCTCGAGAGGATTCAATAAGTTTTTGACAAAGTTGTTCCAAGATGCACTCTGTGCCACCTGTAAATGCTAGACACTAATCAGAAAGCCGATGGTACGACTTCGACAAGGCATTAACATGCAGTATGTCACCACCTGCCATTTGTTACAGACGTGGATCGCCGAACAACCGCCACAAAATTGTCGAAGACTATAAAGTTCAATATACACCAATGGGGCAAAATCCCATCGAAACCCTAGGAGTCCCATGTGACCTCTTTAACTTTGCCCCATTGAGTGAGTCCCACCATGACCCATCGAGTCCAACGGAAATGATGTGATTTAGTCACACCATCAAGAGTCACACGATGTCCCATGGAAAGAACGTGGGAACTCATGGGACTCGATGGGGTAAAATTCGAAGGAGTCCCATGGAGTCCATAGGGCAAAATCCCATGAAGTCCCACGAGGTCCGACACAATTTAAAGTCTATGGAGGTCCCACCGTACCCCATTGGTGTATGTTGGGCCAATATGCAGCCACTTCTTGTGGTGAACTCCTGAGTAATCAAAGAGACTATGCTTTCCTTGAAAGCATTTTGGGAAAGTGCAATGGATACTAAATAAGCATAAACTAAAAACTTTATTCTTCTAGTAAAATATACAGAATGTCTATAATAAACTCATGATCTTTATAATTAATATTTATTTATTTACATTTTAAAAAGCATTACATTTTAAGAAGCATTACATTTTTATATTTAGTTTATTTGTATATCTCTTGTATATGATATATATATATTCATATTGCCATGCCATCTATACCTGGTCATATCATTAGTATCTCCAATTAATGACACTAAAACTTGCATAATATCTGATCGAAAGAGAATGTACTCAGACACTGTGCCGAGTCATTATAATAAATGATTGTCAGAGAGGACCCTGTACTTCTATCTTACTCATTCACCAAACCCCCGTGTGTACTCCACCCTCCGTCTAATATCAGAGGAGGGAAGAGACTCAAACATTGTCACGCCATCTATACCTGGTCATATCATTAGTATCTCCAATTAATGACACTAAAACTTGCATAATATCTGATCGAAAGAGAATGTACTCAGACACTGTGTCGAGTCGTTATAATAAATGATTGTCAGAGAGGACCCTGTACTTTTATCTTTCTACTCATTCACCAAACCCCCATGTATACTTCACCCTCCGTCTTAATAATAAATGATTGTCAGAGAGGACCCTGTACTTTTATCTTACTACTCATTCACCAAACCCCCATGTGTACTTCACCCTCCGTCTTAATAATAAATGATTGTCAGAGAGGACCCTGTACTTTTATCTTTCTACTCATTCACCAAACCCCCATGTGTACTTCACCCTCCGTCTTAATAATAAATGATTGTCAGAGAGGACCCTGTACTTTTATCTTACTACTCATTCACCAAACCCCCATGTGTACTTCACCCTCCGTCTTAATAATAAATGATTGTCAGAGAGGACCCTGTACTTTTATCTTACTACTCATTCACCAAACCCTCATGTGTACTTCACCCTCCGTCTAATATGAGAGAGGAGGGAAGAGACTCAAACAAAGCAGACTGCTATATATACATGTCGTTATACAGACGTCTGGTACAAGAAACTGTTTATGTCGTTGTTGTCGTTGTGGATTGTTCGAAGGCAGACGGTAAACTGACAGGGGAGGCGAAGCTCGTCCCGTTTGCAGCGAGGTAAGGGCTGGCAAAGGCATACGGCGATGTAATTGGGCTCCAATATGGCGGAACTAAACCCTGCCTTTGCGCCATCTTCATCCGTGCTGTCATTTGTTTCTTCCACTTCGTCCTGAAAATCAGTACCAATGATTCAAACTAATTTTTGTTCATTTCCAAAGTACACCATTTCAATGGCATTTTGCTATGTGTAGCGGGCTCACAAGACCCAAAGGCAAACTGAGGAGCAACATCTCTGATTTTCAAACAGCTTAAAAGAAACGTATATATATTGATACCACTTATAATTTGAGTTTTTTTCCCAAATACACACATTTTTATGATTCTATGAACATTTTTGCAATTACAATTGTGTTGCTTCAGAAATCTGGTAATCCCCATCCCTTTCTAATATAACGTACATGTATGGGGCCACGATTGATGCAAGACTCATTAATTAGATTATTTAACTCACCTTCTATTTTGGAACCAGGTCTTTATCTGCGTCTCAGTGAGGCTGAGGGCCTGGGACAGCTCCATACGTTTACTCACACTTAGGTACTTGTCGGTCTGTAAAATAAACGGGATTGTACAAATTACAGACTAGCCTGACAACATTCTGTACGAGTATATGGGTACCTCTCTATGGGGAACACCTCAATCTGTGAACAATATGAACGTGACCACTAGTCATAGGTGGACAAGTCAAAATGAGGTCCTAGTTTTTTCTCTCTCGGTCAGTCCCATCCAAGGCATCCATAAAGAATAAATTATTTATTTTTAACAATTATTAGTTTTTTTCCAGAAATAGGGTCAAACTTTCAAATGGGTCCTTTAATTTAAATTTAATTTTAAATTAATTTTAAATTTATTAAACGAAACAATCGCTAACCTTAAATTCCTCCTCGAGTTGTTCTAGTTGCTTTGAGGAATATGCCTGTCTAGGCTTTCTGTCTACTCCAGGCTTCCTCGCCCTTCTACCCACTGGCTTTGGAACTACAAAGAAAAACATACCCAATCACACCCTGAGGTCCAGAGTCAAATTGCATATACTCCGACTAGGATAGACAATTTCACCATTGTGGTTCTGAAAAGATCTTAGCAAAAAATTAGTTAATTTGATTGGTTAAAACTGGATCTAATGATTATTTCTTATTCTCTTTTTAAGATGAGAAATTAAATCTTGAAAGGGTCCAATCAAAAACGTGCACTGTTATGTAACCATTCCGATTCTACATGTTTTGCCCAAATACCATTTAAATTAGACACTTACAACAACCATTATTATGAAACAAAAAGTCAACCGATATATGTCTTCACTCGTGCAACTGTGAAACACACACCCGTGATTTTTTCGAGAAATGGCTTGTTGGTTTGACTTAAAAGACAAGTACTGGCCAGTATATTATATCATTAGATATGTATATTGGATAAATTGAGATGTTTACTGTTGAATCATATATAAAAAGACAGGTGGTTGACAAATAAAAAAAACAATCCAATGAAATTCAACCTTTATTTCCATATCTATTTTGGGAGTGTGTTTTACTTCTATGAAAACTCGTATTTGATAACAATTACCAAATGTTTCTTTTGTTAAAATCACGAACTTGTCTCACTTTTGGTAAGCATGCGACTATCAGGCATTCCACCGGTTTTCTCCAAGGCGGCATAAATAAAATGTTTTCTTTCTTTATGTTTTAAATGGTTCGTAAAGCGTAAACTTTTATATTCGAAATTGCTTCAATCAATTATACCCTAATAAAAATAAATTGTTGATTCATGGTTTTAAATGACTTAAACATAACTCTTTATTTTATGTCATGACTCTATTGTCATCGTTAAGTGGGGAGTCTATTTTCTTTGATTTGAAAGAGATTTCACGATGTTTTAGGCAGAAATAGTTCAACGGGACATGATAGGGTTTGTGACGATAGAAGTAGATAGTCAATGAATTACCATGCAAGGATTGCAAGTCAAAAATAATGTTTACTCTTTTGGACGAGTTATTTTTGTTTAGAAAACATGTATCTGGCATTGAAATGTCCTCCTCGTGGTATTTTTCAGAAAATTATTCATCATTTCTCAGATTAATTTATATATAATTAAATGATTATTTATTTATTTATCTATTTATCTTTTTATTTATTTATTTATAAATGTGCCCACATTTAACATATGTTATGATATTGTCATGGTATCGTATTTAAATATAATTCGTTCTGTTAATTGTAACAACAGTAAAATGAATGATATAAACTTACCATTGAGGCCAAAAATATGTTGCCTCAACAGAGATGGGTATAATAAGGCAGCTGAACTGACGTCAAAACCAGGTAACTGCATATGTGGAGGCATCGATAGAGACGCGAACGGATGAGCCCCACCTAAAGCTGTTCCTGGTGGAGAGCCAGCTCCCATCAAGAAAGGATTGGCAGAAGTGAGTCCACCGTATATGTTTGTATTACTGGCATCAAGCGAGGAATGCGAACTATCTGGTCGCTCTATATTTTCTTCGCTCGGTGATCTAGAGTTTTCCCTTTCGTGAAATTGTTCAAAGTCAACACGCTGTTCTTTGGATGTAGGGGATTTTGCATTTTCATATGTTTTTTGTTCTTTGTATTTTCTTTGTTCATAACTCGTGTGATCCTTTGGTCTTGTAGATGGTTCTTGCCGTTCACATGTGGACGACCTCCCTAAAATGTCATCAATGGAAAGAACACTGCGAACTGGAACTGGCGCGATGGCAATAGGTCGTTTCACATCATTTTTTGCTAAGTTTATCGGACTGTTGTTTCGTAAATAATTCTTGTTGTTATTTTCCTCCTTGTCTCGTTTCATCTCAAAAAATTCATTTCCCGACATTTTTCCTAATTCGCTAATAATTTTATTGATGTATTTTCAAGTTTTCCCAAATTATTTTTTCACTTATATTTTCGTACTGTTTAAGTTTTTTCCAAACAATTAATAAGTTGCCTCTCGTTTGGTGTGTCCAACTTAATTGATGTGACAGGCTCGACGATGGTGATGTATATGGGCAGCGTTCGTGTTGGCCGACTATATATCAAGCAATAACGTATATTCTATCATGTGAGACCAGTACTTCTAGAGATCAATACTTTTCAGTGAAGACAAATGAAACACCATAAGTTTCTTTTAAGATTTTCACACCACCTTGCAAAGCGCCCATAGACAATAAGTAACATTCCTCATTCGCCTTTTAACAGCTTCAACAAAACCCTACAATTGATTCCTTTTCAAATAAATATGCGTCAACTCAGGCAAAACTGATGGCTACTTAAAACACTTCATAGAAAACTTTCATTTCATTTATCAACTCGGGACCCACCACATACTTGTATCGTTATGCAAGCTGACCATATTTCTTGTTTGAATAATTTAAAGATTTAGTATTATTATGAATAAATCAATTGGTGCCTTTTAAATTCTCTTTCCGTTCTTGTTGTCGTTATACCTTGTATGAAGCTGTATTAATTTACCGAACAAACAACTCATTAGCCTTACGAGTAGCAAACCAATATAACTAATAAGACCTATAAACAATTTTACTGATACACAAATCATTTAAAATACTTGGACATCCACGAATCGATGCCATTAGCCTCCCCTCTCCACATGGTCGTTCCCAGCCCGCCTCTCGACCATTTATGAAATTAGGCGATTGAATAACATGTACACACATCATTGGCAGTAAAACAATAGCAACATATCGCAATATGAATTTACCCATCATTAATGAGCAAATTGATTGAAGTTATTAGAAGGTTTGTATTGGATACAATTGCTTACCCACTTTGAATTGTGCAATTGTTAGAGGGGCTATCGAAACAACGACACCGAATTATAGCTCATTAGTACCCAATAAATAGACATGATTCGATTGCTGAATTACTAATCATGCAGAAACATTAATTTCTCATTCCAGTTCATTATTTGGTTAGATTATTCCAATTAACGCTTTCCAATGGTATCATAACGGATTGATTTAAAATTTACATCATAGATACACATTCGGGAAACTGATATACCGCAAACAGATCATTAACATCCGTTAATGAGCAGACACAACTTGGTATTTGTAAAAGTCTGATTTTAGCGAAACATTTTTGGTTTCCAATTCACATTTTGTTTTTTGTGTGTCTGATATCTTTTTATCTTTATTTATCTTTTTACACTAAATGCTGTTGACCTGTGTACTCCCCATCTTCATTCACAAGGTTCACTCCAACTTCTTGTTATACCACCTTGAAAGTCGAAGATATGTATACTCCTGGTGCATTTTGGATTGTGAAAATTGTGCCCCCTCTTTACCTAATCCTTGAGAGGGATTCCAATGAATAATTGGTTGTGGATAATACAGGCGGTGGTATTTATTTTGAATTCCCCTTTACGTGTTTATCTTTATGGATACTCGAGCAAATCTTAAATGTTCAATAACTCCCCCATTTGATAAGATGACACAGATCATTTTCTAATAATCAAAATGAATACGGTTTTGATGAAGATGGGCCTAAAGTCGATATAGAGAAGTCGCATAAAGTTGATATAGTGTAGGTGCATGCACCTATTTATCTACAAGACTATCACGGTCTAGATCCAATCCAAGTATTGTCAAATTTCTTAGAAAAAATAGAAATCGGTTATTGGTGATCTTTGACACAATACCGGAATAGTTAATCATAGGAATAAGAGTCAATTAATTGGATGATAGTTCGAGTTGTTTGTCCTCTCCTCACGCAACATCTTCTTCGATAGGACATGGGAGAAAGCATATGGATGAAACAATAAAGAATATTTCCTGTTTATCTGTTGACACGAAACAAAAGCAAGATATCTGCACTTGTTAATGGTGTAATTTATGGATCTTCTCGAGAAGAAAATACGATAATAATAGGAGAGATTCAAAACTAAAATTTAACAAAAAATATATCCCCTAAATTCACTTTTTAGAAAATGCAACAAAAGTAACTTCATAAATGGAAAATAGATAATTCTCTAAATTGCTTCAAATGTCAGACACGCCAAATTAACTAATGTTTCCTTCGGAACTAATCAATTGATTTTATTTGCTATTACATAGGTCTTTGGGAACGACGTAATGGGTACCACACTGTATAAAGTTTTGAGTGCTCTTGACAAGATGAATCTAGCGCTGAAACGTTTACTTTGCCGCAAAGCGTGTAAGACATTACACGAATATTAGCAAGGTATAAGAACTGTAATGTTTCCACTAATAGAATGTTGAAATAAATAAATTGTCACTTGAACTGTTTAATAAATTATTACTGCAATCAATTAGTGGAGTTATTGGTAGAATGGCACGAAATTGTGATAATAATTAGGTTAAAATTCATCAGGCGTTTTGTACTTTTTGCCATTAAAGTACTTTACAAAACAAAGGATTACATTCTTGGAAAATGTTTTAAGCTGAATCCTAGATACTAGTATGATACAAGTATTATTGATTTTACAGAAAATCTACGTAAATGTTTCCAAAATTATACACCCTTTTCAAATATCTGGATGTCCCGGCTCCGTAATGGATAGCGTAATTCTTTCCTCCTGCACCGGCAAAAACACGACTGCCGATTTAGTTTGCACAATATTGTAGGTTTGCGTTGCCGTTTTGTTCATAAACAGTTGAAATAAACGTTATGGAATCAGCTATAAGCTGACGCATGATGTTCATAGATTTTGAAGATTTTGACAAAGAATTTCATTAGCTATTGCCCCGAACCGGTCCGTCTTCTCGCTGCAAGCAGATTGCCCCGAACCGGTCCGTCTTCTCGCTGCAAGCAGATTGCCCCGAACCGGTCCGTTTTCTCGCTGCAAGCAGGATGAAATTCTTTGTCACAAAGTTTGGCATTTTTTATAAAATCAAACGCGCGTCATTGAAACTCACAAGATGTAAATAGCATGTCATTTACATCATACCTTGATGGGGAAAATAGATCTTATATGTTAGAAGTACTAAATAAAAGTTATCGTGAAAATGAGACAGTCGTTCTCGAGAGAAAAGAGCATAAATGCGCATTTAGAGAGTTTTGGTCCGTTTAAAAATCTGTAAAAAATTGGGGTACTTAACAGCATCGGGAGGCATCATATATCAAATTAGACACGAGGAAGTCAATATTGAGTTATGGCTATTTTAAATTCAAATAAAACCGTTAACCCGTACCGGTCCAGCTTTTGACCCGTACCGGTCAATTTTCGTTAGCTGCGTATACCAAGGGTGAAACAAGAAGTGAATAGAACCAATTCTTACATACAGTAAAACCTGTCTAATCCGAACGCCATTTGGACCGGCTTAAAGCGTTCGAATTAGGAGGTGTTCACATTTTGAGGTTTTTGCATTCGCGAGATTCCAAATTCTGAAGAAATGTGAACACATTCTCAACTTTATAGTTCATTTGACCACATAGCTTTATGGCATTTCAAAAATTTGATTCGAATGAATCTAGTCATGCTGGAAAACCCTATTATAATCAAGACCATTCAAATATTTTTCCCATTAGTTTTGATATCATAACAACATTTGAGCAATTTTCAATGAAACATGTGAAACTTTATGAAAAGTGTTCAGATTAGACAGGCTAATTTTTCAAATATGACTGTTCACTGTTCAAATTGAGAGGTGTTCACATTTCAAGTATTTTTTAACATTGGAGTCAATGGGAGGAAAAAATGGGACCGAAAAAAGTGTTCAGATTGGGAGGTGTTCAGATTAGCCAGGTGTTCAGATATACAGGTTCTACTGTATTTGAAAACAAAATTATACCATGGGCTACATCAAAAATAGTTGAGGAGCCAATAACAACATCCAGATAATCAAGACAGAACTGTCTTCGAATTTTATTTCAGATTTACTGGCTCGGTAACAACCATTCGAACATAATTATAGGAACACTGACTGGATAAGAGGGCAGTAACCTCGTTCACACAATGACTATTCGGAAACCGTTCGTATACCATCCTATGAACATACCCAGATAGCACGTCTTTGTTGGCCCAACGTCGGCAATTTTACGTCGGTACCTTGACGTTGGGCCGACGTTGGTTCAAGGTTGTCAAGGCACACTTCTCCGTTGGCCTGAAGTCGGCAATTCTACGGCTGTAAGCTCACGTTGTACCGACGTCGGTACAAGGTTGGCAAATGACACATCTTTTTCGGTCTGAAGTTAGCAATTTTAGGGCGGTACTTTGACGTTGGGCCGACGTTGGTACGAGGTCGTCAAGGTACACTTTTCTGTTGGCCTGAAGTCAGCAATTTTACGGCTGTACGCTGACGTTGTACCGATGTCGGTGCAAGGTTGGCAAGCAGCGTGTCTATTTCGGTCCGAAGTTAGCAATTTTAGGGCGGAACTATAACGTTGGGCCGACGTTATTTTCAGGTCGGCAAATCACACTTCTGTTAGCCCCAAATTATAGTAATTTTAGGGTGGTACACTAACGTTGGGCCAACGTTGGTACCACGTTGGTAATTGACACAATTTTAGGGTCGGTAGAACGTTGGGCCGACAATGATATCAGGTCCGAAGTTAGCAATTTTAGGGCGGAACTATAACGTTGGGCCAACATAATTGTTTGCCACTGTTGGACCAACGTTGGCCCGCTGGACAAAATGACGTTGGGTCAACCGCTCAAGCCGACGTTGGGCCAACAGATGCGTAGTTGTTGGCCCGAAGTTGGCCCACTGGCGGTGTGCTATCTGTGCCAACATTGGACCAACGTTGGGCCAATATAATTTTTTGCCACTGTTGGACCAACGTTGGCCCGCTGGACAAAATGACGTTGGGTCAACCGCTCAAGCCGACGTTGGGCCAACAGATGCGTAGTTGTTGGCCCAACGTTGGCCCATTGGCGATGTGCTATCTGGGACCTATCGATCAGTGCAAAATTGCAGTTGGCAAATTGTAGTTGGGCCAACGTTGGCCCGTTGTTGGCTGCCGCTAATACCAGGAAGCCACCTATCGATAAATCATTGCAAATGCTTAAAAATAGAAGAAAACATACCAGCTGTCATTAAAAAAAATTAAGGTAAATTTTTGTAATATTTTCTTTCAAAATTATCTGATAATGTTGTTCACCTCAAAAATATGGATTTTCGCCTTGTTATACAGTTGAAACCACTTATAAGGCTACCAAATATATTTAGTATGGAAAAACAAGCCACCATATTTTATTGATGAAAAACGGATATAATATGTGAACACATTTACAGTAGCAGTACTGAATGCCTAGATAGCACAAAGACGTTGGGTGAACGTCGCTATCGGTGACCATTGGTTCTCAAGGTTGCAGTTGGCAAATTATTCATGTGGCCTGTCGTTGGCTGCCCAGGGAGCCAACAATGGCTGTACAAAAAGTAAATTGTGTCAACAGTGGGCCAACGTTGGTTCTGTGGTGGCTGCCAATGTTGGACCAACGTTGGCTGACGTGGTTGGCCCACCGTCGCTATGTCCATTGGCCCAACGTTGGCCCTCCGAAAGAAAATATGGTTGGCCCAACAATGGACCAACGTAGCTTGAAAGCGACGGTGGACCAACGTTGGACCGATGGACATAGCGACGGTGGGCCAACCACGACAGCCAACGTTGGACCAACATATACGTAATCGTTGGGCCAAAGTTGGCCCAACTGTTGACCAACGTTGGGCCAACCAGTTTTGACCGCCAATGCGCCAACATCCCTCTTAACATTGTCGGACCAACTGTTGACCAACGTCGGGCCAACCAGTCTTCTTACTATTAGTGGGCCAACTATGGGCCAACGTAGCTTGAAATCGTGTTGGGCCAACAATGGACCAACGTTGGGCCAATGAACATAGCGACGGTGGACCAACGTTGGACCGATGGACATAGCGACGGTGGGCCAACCACGACAGCCAACGTTGGGCCAACAGATACGTAGTTGTTGGGCCAACGTTGGCCCATCAGAGTTGTGCTATCTGGGTATACGGCAAAACTGCCACAGAAAAATGAATTTAGTCGTAACACAATTATGTTCATGACGAGTCCATAAACTGGTGTATTACATACCTAGCGAAGCATTTGTATGGAAGTCAATGGGAAAGTTAGCGAGCTATATCCACCGATATTGCCCGATTACCCCGATATAGCCCGCTTACCTCGTTTTGATATTAGATTTCTTTAATAACCATGATAATATCATGACGTCACGTCATTGATACAAAGTAACCATGGGAACAAAGGCATGTAATACATCAGTTATGTCACTATGACGTGAAATATGCCTTCGTTCTTGCCCAAATATAGAGCCTCCCAAGGTCGGCCTATATTGGGAGAACTCAGGCATATTTCACGTCATAGTGACATAACCTCTAAATATAGGTAGAATTTTACATATTTTTTGCAATGATAACATGCCATTTCTTCTACAAATGTGTTGATTTGGTCAGAGTATATGTCTCTGATTTGGTTATATCGGATGGAAAATGTCGAGTCAAATGGCGTATTCACCCCGGAATAGCCTGACAACGGTAAAGTCAGATACCGTTGTCACAATAATTAACATAAAAGAAGCATGTTTTTATAACTATATAAAGTAAAAACTACTTTATTGATCCATTGTACTAAGTTTATATAAACTACTTGTATATGAAAAGTTAAATCAAGAATGATAATGATAAATGATTTAAAACGACATTCCGCAAATTTCTAATTAAAAAGAAGACAAATGAAGCACTAATAATATGAATATTAGACACAAAGCAGGCTACTGGATTTGGAATACAAGATGTATATTTATTTGTAATGTTACAAAATTACCACACCACGATTTGGTTTTTAGACTAGTGCACGGATTTCCGGCAAATCACAAATGAATAAACACGATAGAGAACTATATATGTACTAATGTATATATATACTAATGTACACTACCACTAAACCCAAATAACTATCACTACAGCACTGTATGTTCTCAGTTAAGCTAGTCGTACACAAATGGGACATGTTGGGACATCAAGGGAGTTATTGAGTAAACTATTTTCATGGGACATGAAGGAACAAGTTCGGACATTCCCATGGGACATCAGAGGACAAATTGTCCCACGTTGTCCCTTTTCCCAGGTTGTCCCCGGGACATTGTTCCAAGTTGTCCGATTTTGTCCCTTTATGTCCCATTTCATCAGGTGATAATCATATGACCATTTTCTGACAAAATGGCGCTATATTTCAGACATCATCGGACAAAATGTGGGACATTGTCCCATGATGTCGCATGATGCCCGGGGGACAAGAGTGGATGTGTTAGGACAAAATGGATAAAGTCGGACATTGTCCCATTGGTGTACGCGGCTAGATTTACAATACAGATTCATGGTCTGAGTTTATGAATCAAAAGCCTTTGTTATGTCGCATCTCGGCGATACGAAACAATATTGTATAAGTTGTCCCAAATAACCACTATATACAGGTCATACACATGTAGGCTTTTGAACAGACACCAATGAACAAACTATGCAATGTCACAGTCTTCTGTAACATAAGGAGCAAACTAGATTAATACATAAGTAGCACATGTAATGCCTAATTGACAAAAATAATGAAATCATAAATGTATAGGGATATTGGAATGTGAAAATGATTCCAACAGAAACTTCAGAGTGCTGAAATTGACTATTGCATGAATTTAACATTCCATTAAAATAGTTTTCAACAATATTCATAAAAAATATGTGTTCAAAGTATTCCGAATTATCCAAAAGTTACTTATAAGAAATGAATCTTAAATTAAATCATGGATCACTAAAGTTGACACACCCTTTGCATTCGTTTGACTTCACTTCTTAAAAGAGAGCTTCGTATTCTTCTTTAAAATGTGGACTGAACTTGATGGTCGTCACACATAGATTTATTTGTAACATATACAATACTAGAATACCTTTTCAAAAGTATCTCAATTGAGATTCAGTACAAAATGGTTGAATCATAATTTTCTGAGGTTGTAGAAACAGCTCTATCAGTGTCCATATTCGCGTATGACGATATAGTTTGGAATTCATTTGTATTTTAGACTTAACAAGAATTAGGCCTACTGTTCTGAGCTCAAAACTATATGTCTTATAAATTCTTGTATTTCTCTGTTGCCTGGAGTAGTAAAGCCGTTATCCCTGTTTCTGTTTCAGAATGCCCAGCATCATCCACAAACTGGAAGTCAGCTGATGGCCATCTCTGAAACAACAGATTTCACATTGACTAATTATATGTACCCAGGAAAGGGACATCCTAAGAGTCCAACATGGAAATTGTTTCTATTTCAAAATTGCCAGGGATACTTTGCAAATGAACTTTGAGTCGTCGTGCAAGTTATAATTCACAACCAATCTCTTCCCCTTTTAAAATACATTTAGGCTAAAACATTTATTTTATACTGTGTTTATAAAACTATGAATGTTCCAACAAGCTGTGTATGGAATTTCTATTCTTGTTGATGTGAAATAGAAAAACAGTTTTTGAAACTTGGGAGATTACTTGGTAATACAATTATGGCAGTTGTGAATATTTATTTTTATTTTAAATTATATATTGGGATATATTGTGGACAGTTCTCAAATATTCCTGTTGTGAGTTATTTCGCTAGAAACAAAGAAAATAGGAATATAGATGGGCAAGTGTAAATCTACCAAATACAAAGATACAGAGTGATCAGATTGACTTCAAGAAGTGAGTATGTACCATGTACCTTGTAAAGGTCCCATGCAGTTTTGACAGGACAACATACATCATAACGACCCTGTATTATTACCCCTTGGATATCTTTCAACCTATCAGCATTTTCAATTATTTGGCCATCAGTCTTGAAGAATGCGCCATGAACAAAATAATGACTGAAAATAGAATGTCAAAGAAGTATGTGATTCGTGATAAAGGCAGTATTCATGTGTTATCATCAGTCATCATAAAATATAATGAACCGTCCATTATCGTGTGCCAATGATAGAAATCACATTCTTACTGTACAAAATATTTTGTTGGGTCTTACATTGTCTTGTTACATTGTCTCATTGTGTGTAAAATTGTGATATCGGATATTTTATATTGTATACAATATCAAGGCAGAATATGTTGGGGATGCTTACTAGAAATACATGAATATATTTTTATAGTGGCTAATTATTCCCTTAAATTATGCAGATATGTGGATGACTTACCATTCAAGTCTGGCAAACTGTAATGTCCAAACATCATTCTCTGTTTTCTTTAGATAGTTTTGATCCTGCAGGAGTTTCGCTGTCTCCATTTCCCATGTAGTCCAGGCCCTGGCACAAGCTAGCTTCTCATCCTCATCATTTCCCGTAAGACGCCTGTAATAGGCACTTATGAGGTCACCTCTCTCTACCTATAATATAATGACCAGGGCCAATGCCCCAATATTTAAATCTGTGTCTTCAAAACTACTTTTTCATACAATTGCTACTTCTCTCTCTCCATTATGTTATGGGTAGACTCGCTGATTGGCAGATAATGCTGATTACACGAATCACGAAAAAATCATCCAAAGCCAAAAATCTCCGCCTGAGATGCATGCTTTGCAGTAAAATGTCACAGCAACAATTCAACAAATAGTTATATAATGTTCATGATATATAAATACCTCTGGTATCGGAGCTAGATATTTCTCCCAAAGATCAGGGAAAAGATTACTTGCACCTTCCTGCCAGAACCAAAGCAGCTCACTCCTGAAAGGCAGTTTGTTCTTGTATTTTCTATTTTGGAATAGGATAAATCAATACTAACCAAATAAATTATGGTATCAATATGAGATTAATCAGTAAAATCACTTATCTTAATCAAACCAAGGACGTCCTTGATCAAACACTCTGCACAATGTATATAGATAGAATCAGTGATATTAGGGCTATTCATTTTTGCTTTGTATTGGCCGATTTCTCTCTCGATGATCGTCATGTTATAATGGGCCCGACTCTGGGACATCTTTCTTACCATTTGTTAATATCATTATGAGTGAAAACGAATTCCCCATGTTCTCAGCTTCCCGTTGGTACCAAAATATCAGTGTACCTCTTGGACTTTTAATTTTTGATTTTTTTCAGGAAAGTTGACTAGACTAGTATATATGTCACTAAATCTATGGTGAAACCTTATGTTGTAAAAGTATGCTGAAGTACCTTCTTGCTGTAAATATCCCCCTTAGGATCAATGCTTTCACTCTGTCAGGATAGGTCTCAGCATAAACCAATGACATCGTTGAGCCCCAGCTACCTCCAAAAACAACCCATTTCTCAATATTCAAATGCTTCCTTAGACTTTCAATATCTTCGACTAAATGCCACGTAGTGTTATCCTGAAATAAATTAATACATTAAACGATGTTAAACTTAACTTAGGTTGCAACAAAATAGAATGGAATGTTTTTAAAGAATGGACACTTGATAAGCTATCAAAAACCAGTGTGCCACAAAAGAGGATTGATAGTTTCAATCATTAAAAACAATAAACAAATGTACACGTACTCTTCTTTTGTTATTGTGCATTCTTTAAAATGAAACAATTTTATTATTTTATGCGTTTAGTATTGAGCTAAGCTAGCTTACAACTTTATATTAGATAATAACCTAATAACACAAATAAATGAAACTTTAGATCGTTACTCAAGAACAACTAATAGCACTGTCTGTACAATGCGTTTGTTTCTGCTGTTGACAATGAAATTGTTCCAACCAATCACAGTGAAGGCCAATGCTAAAAACTCATCATTAAGAAAACCATACTGGTGTGATAAACTACAAACACAATGGAACAAAGTGTCTGAATCTGAATCTGCCTGGTTGAAATGTAAATCCACTAATAAAATGTAACTTGAAAGAACCCAAAGAACGTCGAACAAATCCATCGTAAACCAAAAGCGATAATTCCAGGAACAAGAACAACAACATCTATTGGATATCTACAACAATAAACCAAATTCTAGGAACAGATCGAAAACAGAGAGTTCATTGGGAAATTTTAAAACCTGACAATAGTATTTCAACAGACAAACAAGAATTCATAAATTATTGGTTCAACTCATACAACGAATTAATATATTCAGAAAAAGAGGACAATGTCAACCGTGATAAGAATCACTTGAAGCAAGTCAGGAAAAACTCTCCAATGTTGATAACGATAATGTTGACCCACAAAGTGGACCTCTTAATGAGGACGTAACCCTGCAGGATAATGAAGTCCATCGAGCCAAAATTCATCGACTCAATCCCAGCAAAAGTATTGAAAAACCCAACTTGTATAAATATCGTCGTATGAGAATAATAATGTCCCAAGTGCCATTTTGGAAAAAATGAGATTTTCACTGATTTTCACTATCTAAATCATTCTCTTTCTTAATGTGATATATTCCCTTACCTTTATCTCCTCTCAATAGCTTGCTTTTCAGTGTCATTGCAAATTGTCCTAACTTCATAAAAAATTCAAAAATACAATTTAACTTTGTTCACCATGTGACTAAGAATTATTATATTATAATTTGAAACTGAAATTTGAATTTATTTTTGAAACAAAAAACGAATGGAGAAATTTGTGTCCATTGAAAATACATAGCAAAATGGACACAGCTCAGCTTTAATCTTTCGAAGTTACGAAAAAAATCGGAATTGAATTGTCCTATTTCCATTTTTAATATGCTCAAAATTGGCTTAGAAAATCTTAAAATTCATGATTTCTTTAGTGTTATACACAAATTTTTGATAAAAAGAATGTAAAAATTTCACAAATGACAGATCGATAGCAGGCCTGTCAACTTGGGAACACCTAACATAGGGGGGGTAGGTACGAAAAATCTCGAACGGAATGCGTGACATATACGTAATTCGCGTGAAAAGTCCGAACGAAATGCGTACATTTTTTTCCGGCGTTCGTATTTTTGCTGTGTAGACGATCTTTTTTAGAAATTTTTCTACAGAAATATTTTTGCTTGACAATTACCAGGTAAAATGCGTATTTGCGTGACATTTTCTGTCACGCAAAAATAACTGGCGTGACTTCAAATTCTTCAGCAAATGCGTGACAAATACGCAAATTGCGGGACAGTTGACAGGCCTGCGATAGTATTGAAGGTACAGATGCCTCAGCTTTCAAAAATTAATTTCTTAGTTTCACAAAATGTGAGTTGGGACATTTTTATTCTCATAGGGCGATATGTTATATAAAATTACAAAGAAATGCTTCGACAGTGGAATCGTTTGCCAAAAGTGGATGCAGACCATTATTCTCCCAACTTTCCAAGGATGGAGACAACCGCGACCCAATAAACTACGGATCCTTAAAGCTGACACTATAAGCTTTCCAATGATATATTGGAACCTTTGGATAAATGGCGACATTCTTTTGACCCTACTTTGCTCTACTAATTTACCTTTAGTTCTGCGGCAGGGGTTGATTTACCAGCCCCTCGTTGGTCCATTAGTACAATTCTGTATACCGCAGGGTCAAAGAACCGCCTGTCTTTAGGACTTGTGCCCCCTCCTGGACCCCAATGCCTAGAGAATAATATTGTGAAATATTCCTATTTTTCCATATATTATTGTGCGTTTACATATAGCACATGTAGACACAGACAGCACCATCTATCCCCTATAGTATACTAGACCCAGACAATAACAGTATTATAATGTATAGAATAGTTTTGTCATTTTAACGTAGTTACGGTCTCAGCAGGAAGTAAAAAAACATGCTGGATGTTTGAAAGTTTTTGAAAAGTCACTGAACTAAATATTTTGTACTTTTCAGAAAATATGTCCAATATATTGCTTGAAATGATATGAGCTTTGAACATTTTTTTCACTTCCTGTATGGTAAATTTCTTAGAAGTACCCCGAGACCTTAACGCACCAGTATGTTTACATTTCAAGATTTATTGATAAAGACCCTACAGTACATTCACAGTGACATTACACCGGAGCACCCAGACAACGGTAAATCTGACACCGTTGTCACAATTGGCAATTAACCACTTGGTCCTCGTTTCATGGGACCTTAATTATCATTGCTAATTCTGTGCATGCATTAAGCTCTTGTGATGATGTATTACATGAAATCCTAATTAAGATCAAATGGGGTCGTGAATCGTCTTCTTGAAAATCGCCATTGAGATCAGAATCTGAATTTGAAATAATTAACAGAGACAACGGCATGCGGTAAGATGTGACAACGGACTACTGTATATACCGTTGTCAAATGTTACCATCGTCCCCGATTTTACAGCACATTTGACCTACATCAACCGTTGTCATTTATACAGTATCCGCTGTCCTGGTCATATTTGGATCGGTAAAAGTAAAGCCTTTATTTCGATGGTAGAACATATTTAGCTTTCCGAAGAGTAGAAAGACACTTTGATTGATTGTTGTACCAAAAGAATTTTATCTAGGTGCTCTATTAAACATGTAGTTATTGAAAATTGAATCGAATACGACGAACCTGTAGCGGCCATTTGTGACAACGGTATCTGACTTTACCGTTATCAGGATGTTCCGGTGTGCTACACGTGCGACTACACACCCACTGCGCACTGTGCATGTATACTTTAGTACAGTAACAATTGCAAACCCGAAAAATAGACGAACGTAAAAATGCACGATAACCTAATTATAATATTTGTACTCACAAAAATATAACTGGGTTGCCATTTTTATTTCCTGACTGTTCATAGTAAATCTCATGGACATCTGAAACCTTTAGTTTTCCACTTTCAAATGGCTCAATTTCTGGATACAGTCCTCGAGCTTCCGTCATTTTTGAACGAAATGTGAGCTTTCAAATATTCGAAAATGCAGCTTGTCGTACGAACCTTGAAGAGACCTTGAAGTAAAGGCTGTAAATGCTATATGTGATACCATCTACGTTACAATGCATACATGCACTTTCGCACAGTCAATGTCACCGGGGATCAACTGGCAACGAAGACAATTGTCTTCGTTTCAACATGGCCGGACTTCCGGAACGAAGATTTTTCTCGATTTAATCGCTTAATATCATCCATATTTCACTAAAATGTTTGGCACACATTCCGGTTTAGCCCCTATAGAAATATGATTTCACCTCCGAAATAAATAGCGCAATTGTTTGGGATACGACGTTTCATGCTTCAGAAAGCTATTAACAGTCTTCGTTTCCTTAGCGAGGGAAAAGATTCATAAATATCCAAACAATTACGTTATGTGTGTTCTAATCCGGAATGTACACGTATCATATACGTGCCAAATATCAGATATTTACACGCCTAACCATCGCGGAAGCAGGCGTCACCGTACAGCGTCAAAAAATACAGTAGTACACTTTTCTGTACGGTGACGAAAATTAACTGAGTTGAAGCAAAAACTATTATGAGGGTTTTAAAAAAATTAATTTGATGAAAATAAATACGATTTCGAGTGTAATAAAAACAGCATTCTCTTAGAAATGGTTTTAACTTTCTAATTATGATAAAAGTTTTTCGAGCACTGCTCGGTTTTTTTCTGACTGGATCAGCCCCAATAATCGACTCGAAAGAAAAATGTTTTTTTTTTTCACTTTTCGTTTGGTTATTATTTTCCCTGCCGTCTGAGAGTATGGATAATTTTTATGAGAATAAGTATTTGTTATCTACACATTTTAGAACGGATGAAGATTTGGCAAATAACCATTCACTGTATATATTTAAAAAAGATCAAATCTGTACGGTGACGCATCTGCTGTACGGTGACGATTCCTTATAATTTATGAAGTGTAATATATGAGCTCAGTATTAGCTTGTGATTCTATAAGTTTTTGTGTGGAATTCAAATGTTGAATCCCATTCAACATTGAAAAAGATCAATTCTTATGTTTCCATTCCTTTCTGATAACAAGGATTAAATACTGAAACACATTCAACTCTAAGCTTACTGTTTGAACAAGAGGTAAAGACGTGTCAGATCTACATGTACATTATCACTGGTAAGTATCAAGCGAAGGTTACGGCCGTCACCTTCGCATTTAAGATGGCGGGCAGGAAGTATTTCAATATTTTTAGTTTTCATGGAACAAACTATTTGAGAGTTGACGATATGCTTTGATATCATTTGAACTAAACCAGGCTTTTCTCATATGACTAAAAAAGACAGCATATAGCCATCTTTACCCCATGCAAGATATTGCACCTTTCATCCTAAAAAGTCACACGTGCAAGATGTGATTTACTTGTGACATCACTTGTTTAAAAACATCAATAACATAGCAACAAATATACTGAGTTTTTGGTTTCATGATTCTTACCGTATCATACATTTCCAGTAACCTTCCATAAGCGGTGGAAGATATCGTTGAGCTGTGGCGCCCATGCATTATATATGAACAAATGATCGTACTCCAGAACTTCCATTTCATTTCATTTTAGTCTCATTTAGTTCATCAAAGCATAACGCAAATTGTAAAGAAGTTTAATTCGAATAAAACTAAAAGTATCGAAATCGACACTTCCTTTCCAACATCTTAAATTCAAAAGTGACTGCAGTAACTTTCGCCTGATACTGATCATTTGACAACATTTATACGAGGGATACTTGACTGGATCAACATTTGAACTTCCACACTAAAACTTATGCGATTTGAAATAAATAATGAGTTCTTTATATTACTTCTCACAAATTATAAGGAATCGTCACCGTACAGCTTATGCGTCACAGTACAAATCTGATCTTTTTTAAATATACACAATGTATGATTATTTGCTGAATCGTCGCCCGTTCTAAAATGTGTATTTAACAAATACATATTCTCATAAAAATAATCCATACTCTCAGACGGCAGGGAAAATAATAACCAAAAGAAATCAGAAAAAATCCGAACAGTGCTCGTAAAAAGTTTATCATAATTAGAAAGTTAAAACCATTTCTAAGAGAATGCTGTTTTTATTTCACATGAAATCGTATTTGTTTTCATCAAATTAATTTTTTTTATAATCCTTGTCATAGTTTTTGCTCCAAAGCAGTCGATTTGCGTCACCGTACAAAAACTGTACTCCGCTATTTTTTGACGCCGATGATTAGGCGTGATTTAGTTGAAATTTAGAGGATAAAAGTGACGAAATCAAGAAAACAAAAAAAATATTAAAGCGAATAAATCGAGAAAACAAAAAAATATTACTAAATTCTCTTTCCAGAAGTCAGGTCATGTTGAAACGAAGACATGGTGTCTTCGTTTCCAGTTAATCCCCAATGAATGTATACATGCACTTTAGGACGCCATTCGGTTAATATTAATGTCATGTTGTCGGGCTTGCTAGAATGATTAATTGCCAGTATAAAAACAGTATTCTCTCATATAAATGAGGCAATAAAATACAATACAATACAATGAGGATAGTGTGCTTAGATTTAACTGCATACAGCAGTACAGTGCCTGAACCTGATACCATAGCATTAAAAATCAGAAATTATGTTGGCAGTTGACTTTTGAATTAAACTGACTGTTAATTTTGTTTAGTTCAAGATGATGTTTAATATTAATGCATTTCAATATTGATATCTATTTTAAGAAAACTAATTTATCCACACAATGGCATAGAATTCATAGATTCCTCTTGCAATTACATCACCCCTGTGAATATGGGCCAAGTCATAAGTATACTCGTGTTTTTATAAGTACAAAATACTTTATTTCCCATATTTTAAATGATATGAAAAACTACTGAATTATCCTAAATTAAATGATCTTTCATCACATGTTTATCTCATATCGTATCCCCCTATAATTATGCCTAATACTGATTCTCAAAGCAGATTAAAAATTACCAAGTAAATGAAAGCTGTACTCTCTGGTCTGTTTAGCATGTTTTAACAGTATCTAAGCTGATTCCCTAGTGTAAATTCCTTTTGTTTTCTTGTTTTTCTACCATTGATCAAGGGGTGAACGAGAAATATGTCTGATACAATTTTAATCCCCATCATTACCACCTTGCAGGGCCTGTTCTAGGGGTTTTAGAACTAGTTGAGAAGGCATTTAAATTGCTATATTGACGTGAGCAATATTGTGTCGGGAGTTAATGACTTTAGTCGGGCAATAATTAGAGGTTATGTCACTATGACGTGAAATATGCCTGAGTTCTCCCAATATAGGCCGACCTTGGGAGGCTCTATATTTGGGCAAGAACGAAGGCATATTTCACGTCATAGTGACATAACTGATGTATTACATGCATTTGTTCCCATGGTTACTTTGTATCAATGACGTGACGTCATGATATTATCATGGTTATTAAAGAAATCTAATATCAAAACGAGGTAAGCGGGCTATATCGGGGTAATCGGGCAATATCGGTGGATATAGCTCGCTAACTTTCCCATTGACTTTCATACAAATGCTTCGCTAGGTATGTAATACTGACATTATCCGCCCGGCTATGTTTCCCGGGAAAAGTGATATCGTTCAGTGCGTAAGATTTTCTATTTCAAATTTGCTATTTCAGCCCTGGGCATTAACGGTGGTAATAATAGTAATAACGTCATTTCTGCGGGCAAAATAGTGAAATATTGGACCTTGGGCCTGCGGCCCTTGGTCCAATATTTCACTATATTGCCTGCAGAAATGACGTTATTGTACTATTCTTCACGCGTTACGATGGTGTAACTTTTATTAGAATTAGAAGATGGTTTTTACATAATATTCAACATTTAAATTAATGTCTGATATCCACTTGACCTCTTCTCTTAACTACATATTTCTTAAAAACTGTGTCACCAACAAACATTTTAGAAATTCTAGTACTTGCGGAACATATCAAAGTAATGGCCTGTTAATTAATTTGTTGACAGATAAGACTAGAATGTTAAGAGAAATGAGAGAAAAATATCTATAGTCAGATTTGAACCGTTGAGACTTGTAGATGATTTTGAAAAAATTGGTTAATTTGAAGCAAGTTGAAAAAGTACTTTTTTGACCTTGAAAGGGTCATTGAAGGTCAAATCTCAAATCAGGACAGATAAGACTAGAATGTTCAGAGGAATGAGAGGGAGAGCTTGTAGATGATTTTGAAAAATGGTCAATTTGAAGCAAGTTGAAAAAAGGCCTTTTTGACCTTTTATGACCTTGAGAATGTCATTGAAGGTCAAATCTAAAATCCAAAGGCAGATTTGAAAGTCTGATAACTTGTAGATGATTTTGAAAAAAAATTGGTCAATTTGAAGCAAGTTGAAAAAATACCTTTTGACCTTGAAAAGGTCATTGAAGGCCAAATCTTAAATATAAAGTCAGATACGAACTTCTAAAATCATGTAGATGAAATTGAAGTCAGTCTAAACAGTATTTGTTCAATTATTCACTGCTACCCACCTAGTTACACAGACGTATCGTCAGTGTATCATGGCTGAACTACTTCCGGGATTTGAATTTGGTAAGATATTTTTATTTCTCGATTTACATCTACATATAAGTCACGATGTGGTTTTTAATTTGGCTCGAAGTTATGGGAGATAGTCTAGTTTAAGAATGTGTCGATGGTTTTAGGTTTGGTATGTTAACGAAGACGCATTTCACATATTTAGTCCCTCACTTTTGTTACACTGACGATCGGCATTAATATTGCCAATATTACACTGATATTGGTCGTTCGTCAGTGTAACAAAAGCGAGGGACTAAATACGTGAATTGTGTCTTCTTTATAAACATATAAAACCTAAAACCATCGACACATTCTCAAACTAGACTATCTTCCTTAACTTCGAGCCAAATTATTATCCACAACGTGACTTATAAGTAGGTGTAAATCGGGTAATAGAGAATTTTCGTTATACGTAATTGGCCCCCTTATACTTATACTTATACTTATACGTATGGCTTTTGTGTAATACGTCATCACAACTTGCGCTCTCTATTCGTTAGGCTATACGTTTTTTACAGTTAGAACAGGGTTTATAAGTAAG